GGGCTGGATTCGAACCCGCCACCTTAGGTATATGTGGCTTGCGCCCTAGCCACTCGAGCCATAGGCGCCAAGCCAAAGCAATAGGTTTTCTACAAAAGATGAGAAGGATTTATTAGGCTAGGTTGGAGGCCTTCAAGTTCAAGAAACAGCAAGCATATTGTCAGTTTTCCACAGGGGTGTATGGAATGTTGTAGGTGAATTTTTCATTCAGACAGGGAAGAACAAAGGTAGCCAAAGTGCTACTAAAAAAGAAACAAAATACCAAAATGTTTCTAAAGTATTCTTGGGTGGTCCTGAAGTTAGGGGATATTTGTTATAACTATTTTGGATTAGGACAGACCTTTTATAATTTTCTAATTTTTAGCAGCCAGTGGCACCAAAGGGGACGAGCAAGATTATTTTTAGCAGCAGGCCCAGGCAGAAATGTGAAGTTAGAAGAATTTCCAACTTCCCTTTTCTCCTTGTTAGTATACTCATCCACAAGTCTTGCCTGTCCCCATTCTTTTCTTTTTTGCAGTTTTTGGCCAGGACTGGGTTTGAACCCACTACCTTCAACATATGAGGCCGGTGCCTTACTCCTTTGAGCCACTGGCACCACCCTGTCCCCATTCTTTACTTTGCTGCTACAGATCCCTGACAAGCTGTCATGGGTAATTGAGATATTAGCTGAGAGTTCCTGACAGTCTCAGTAAGCATGCTTCCAACTATATTTGAGAGTTGGGTAGAATGGTCTTAGTAATTATATTAGCAAAAGGCACATGGCCTATTCAGGAAGGAGTAAATAAGTCTCTCAAAAAGGTTATTAAATACTCTGGTTTACATTCAGATCACGTAAATATTTCGCCTTTTACTAAAGATTTCTGTGGAGAAGCTCGGTGCCTGTAGCACAGTGGTTACGGCGCCAGCCACATACACCAAGGGTGGCAGGTTCGAACCCAGCCTGGGCCAACTAAACAACTGCAACAACAAAATAGCCGGGTGTTGTGGCGGGCACCTGTAGTCCCAGCTACTTTGGGAGGCTGAGG